TGCGTGCAAAGCTGCAAACGGGATGCATGCTCTAAAACTAGTTAGTTTGCACTTTACAGTGAGCTATAGGTTATTGGCAAAGATTGGGCCCAACCGTTCTTATAAAGTATGTACGGTTCGTTTTCCACTCAGTTTACGTTCTATATCTCTTTTCTATTTTGCACAGTTTAGACAATGGAAGGTTTCGAAACGATGACATCCGATTCAGAAGTTGACACAGACCGAACAGACGGTGTCTCTCGGAGCGTCCGTTTTGCAGAACATCGAGAGGTTCGTGATACCCAATAATTTTTTTATTCTGGCTCTTTATAATTTTTAAGTGCTCCCTGAACAGAGACAACTATAGGTACGGCGAATGCCATCGGTTGAAGCTCATGAGGCTCGTCTGGCACGGCAACCGTATTCCCCTCCGATTTTCGACTGTAATTTTTCCATAAATCTTCCGCGAAACGTGAAATATACAGTATTTTTCTTTGCTCCCATGGTGAGTCCTCTACCGAGTTGTGTTTAGTGGCTGATTGTTTTTTTTTCATTTTTTCAAAGCTTTCACAATTACGTCTGACCAATTTTGTACTATTTCTTGTTCTTTGAAACCTGTGAGAGACGTTCTTTTTCTCAAAGCCCTGCGCGATACTAAGATTATATGGCATTCCCTTCAAATCATATCAGTGCCTTGGTTTATTCAGAAGATACTCGAGAACAGGATCAACCGTCGCGTCCGCACTTTTTTGGGAATTTGAACAACCCCAATAGGGGGTCTTGACACCCACCTACTACTACCACCATCCGTCTTAGGAGGCGCCACCAACAAGACCCCCTCTATCTACTCAGATCAGCACCTTCCTGTTACAGGTGTTTTTTGGTATTAGATTCTGAGACCAGTCAACACAGCCCAACTTCGCCCAATTCTCCCTCTAAAAAAATTGTCAAAATGACACTTCCTCGATAAGTACGACCCCTCCAAATTTCACAGATACAACCCCTTGTTTGCACCTTTCTTATAGATGGTTAATTATGCATTGTTGGCCCATGACCCATGACGCTTCAATATTGTGGTAATGCTCTATACAACATAAAACAGCTTATGGGGCTAACGCACTCTTGCACGAGGTGTTGGTGTCCGAGTGAAAGGGAGCACAGCAGAAGGTGCCTACGCGGGGAACGGTTGGTCCGACGGTTCCCGGGGACAAGTATGGTTTCATATACGACGAAATCGTTCGCTCTGGCATCTATTGAAAATAAGCATATGAGATGGAGTACATAACACGAACTTCGTATTTCTCACTATTTTATCTGACCCACGTAACGTCTCTGCTGCGAAGAAGTGGTATGAGTAGCGCTTGTTACTATACGCACGGTCCTGTAGTCAGTCCTGGGTCGTGCACAGTTCAGGCCAATCACTCCTTTCATCTCCTTGTACCGTCAAGTATTACAGTACAGACTTTCTGTGAGGATGAAAACGCGATTCCCGCAAAATTACTTTGCGTGAATAGAGGATTTTTTTCAATGATGCTACTCTCTGCCTTTGACATTGGTCACTATCAGATCCTTATCCATGATGAAGCATATTAGTTTTCCCATAATTTATGAATTACTTTAGATGTTTTCCAGTTTTTTCTTCTTTTTCTTTTTTTAATCTGAAGTGCTTGTTCGCCTAAACATATACCTCTGATATATTGGCTACGCGTGGTCAGCTAGTTGCTGCCCCTTCTCTTGAATTTCATGGGCTTCTGATCAAAAAAGATTGGACGTTATGTTTGCGATATGTTGCTCACAAAGGAGGTCGTTCAGGGTGCGAGCGTTTTTTCGAAACGGTTTTTCTTGCATTCTGTGTGATATACACATGGACCACAATACTGCGTTTCGTTCGCTGAGCGGCTCCCAAAGCCAAAGAAGTCAAAAATGGTTTTTAAGATGGGTGGTTTTTACAGCCTTGGACTGACGTGACGGACTTTTAGAGAAGACTGTTTGCATATTGAAAGGTATTGGTTGGGGTGATATCAAAACCAACGTGAAATACGCTGAAAAATGGTAATGGTAAAAAATTCGTCGATGGTACGTTCGTGAAAATTGGAGGTTTTGTAAGCGCCGTTGGCATCGCTAACGTTACAGTGGTGTAGTGGTTAGAAGGATAGCGTGGTGGGCTGTCGTTGGCATGGTGGTTCAGGCTTAGTGTTTCGACCCCGCTCCATGACAATCTTTTGCATTTCAGGTTGTCGGTTCCAAATGGCTTTAGCGCCGAAGCTGAGGTTGTATTCATATTCAGGACCGTCAGTAACCCCTGCGAATGGGTTTTCTATCAAAACTGAGGAAAATTCTGCAGCACGAAACTGGCGCGAACGCCATATCTATGATCAGGACCTTGATTTACCCCCATGGGCAAAATTTCTGAAAAAGCGGGCATCCTGAGGACGTGCGCGGCGCAGTCATCACGCGAAATGCTCTGGCGATCCACGGAAATCGAAGATCGGCTTCGTAGGGAACATCTCCCATCACGTCGCTGTCCTTGAAATCGCTCCAGCTATGGAGATGAAGCCTTACGAGTGGAGGAGCCGTGGACCCCGCATATCACGTCTTGATGGAGAGGAGAATCTGCCGACTTCAACATCATGTGGATCCTGTTGTCCATCACCAGCTTGAGTGTCTGCCCTTATTATTCGAGGAGGATTGTGAGGAAATCCATTTCCAGTGGAGTACCTCAGGGCGGTACCTGCTAACCTCATTGATGGTCTTTTACGAAACTAGATCAAATTGAGAGGTATCCAATGCTGCAATCACGAATATGACAACCATTTTTTTCAGATGGCTCCAATTTACGCCACTTTGGCACCATTTTTTGCCCTTTTAACGCAACAACTTTTTTGCCCCAGATTTCGATAAAAATTTGAGTGTATATTGATAGTTGTGATAATGAATAAGGCACCTACACCTATTGGTGCTGGCACTATTAGGAAGCTACAACTAAATCGCAAAAAATTTTCGTCTCGGGTATTAATCATTGAACCATTTCCTCAGCACTTTATGCCCTTCACAGGGCCTTGGAAAATTCCACGCATGAGTTCCTATAACATTGAAGAAAACTGTTGTAAAAGGCTCTCCACACCCTGGACTACTTCCCTTGTTAGCGCAAAATTTCTTCCTAAGGAAGAGCGCCAAAGTAGTAGGTAGTTGTTCGCTGGCACGTGGTTAGGGCTCGGCAGAGCTGTCAACATGAGATTCTCCAACTCTTCACGAATATTTTCCGCAAGGTGGGGTCAAACGTCCTTACAAAAAAACAGATCCTGCTTTACTTCCAATTCGAACGCGTCGCCATCAGCTGCTTCTTCGCTTTGGTGTTGCTGGGTGGCTGTTCCCACTGCTAAGCCTCTTCTTTTTCGATAACATCTCAGGAGGGTCGGACTCGGTGGAAGTTGAGCTTTAGCTGTCCGAACTCTCGAATCGTTTAAGCTAGGCTGCCAATGCTTGTAGATTTGTTAGCAAGCTCCACACCACCGATGAATATGCTGAATGATCAATATATTGGAAGTGTGGGAAAACCAGAGGTATTGTTACGATGTCGGATGGTGTTTGAAGCTGATATGGGCTCAAAGCATGCGAGTTACAAACTCCTTTCTAAACCTTTACAACTCTGGGGAAATCTTTTGTTGCTGTTCATCTCGGCACAGCGGAAGCCTATAACGAATAACACTTTTTTCTAGATTCCTTTTTGATGGCGCCGGGTAGGGCATGGAGACTGAGAGAATCGTGAAGTGACGGACATGTGGATCTTCATAAAAAAAAACCGACCTTGTAATAGAGTGTCCCAGAGGTGCACCTTAGATTGATGGATCGTGTCCTCATCTATCTTCCTCTTGAGCTTCTATATTGCTTGGCATCTGAAAGGTCGGAAGTGGTGAAGAAGCTAGAAATAGGTTCTTTAAAAATTGGAGTAATAGCCTCGCAAGGCAGCGCGTATATGGGCTGACTAGTCGTTCAGGTAGGCTAACTTGGGATCTACTTCGGAAAACAAGTTTCACGCCCTAGACAGGTTTATAGGAGTCTTTATAGCATATCTTATCTTTATATCTGAAGTGATTCACTAATTATGCTACAATCTAATAGTTATCGTTCTTGCTGCCTTTATCATTTGTCGCCCCAATAGTTTTCATTAGTAATACCGAATACTTTAGTTATTGGATATTTTATATATTGCAAAGATTATAATAGAAAATAAAACATGTTTTTTTAGTGGCTCATCTGTACCTTCACATACCAAACGGCTTTGGTGTTCACTTCGGTTTCTGCGTTGAATTTGATCTCATCATCGTCGTCTCTGTTCGTTCTAGTCTTCTCGATTTGCTTTCCCTCAACTGGCTCCAGCTTCACGCTTTTGAAAGTAAGGACTTTGTAATACAGTACAGTACGCTTAGTACATATTTTGTTTGTTCTACATAAAGCGAAACTCTTATAATAATTTTTTTAGGCTTTTCTTGTTGCTTTGAATTTGGGAGGTGTTTTCCTTGTGTCGCAATTCTCTTCATCGTTTCGTGGCACTTTACTCGCTCAGGTAACCCAATAACTTTTTATTTCGAAACGCTGTTGTATGCTTTACTGTTGTAGTTCTACCGCTTGTTAAGGTTTCGGCAGTTTCATATGCTCTGTACATAACATTATACACTCGATATCAAGAGAAGAATGGAGAAATCGGTCTTAACCTCATGTTCGGTGAGTAATGTGTAACAATTCACGGAAGAATTGGTCCGCCGGCCATCATCACTTCAATGCCCGTGTGAAATTCATTGACATGTCCGTTGTGGTCTAGTGGTTAGGATTTACGGCTCTCACCCGTAAGGCCCGGGTTCGATTCCCGGCAACGGAAAAGTTTTTGCTTCCTCCATCATGCACCGAAATAGAGCTTGAAAAACTAGGACAAGACACTGTAGCATCTATATTATATTTTTGTCTATAGAATCAAATCAGTACACATTTTATGGCCGTTGATTATGCTTTTGATTCGTTCTCGTTCGGTGGGAAAAAATTCATCAAATCCCCGCTGGACAAGCAAACATAGTACAGATTTTTTTGATCACTTATATCTGCTGCAGTAATCGTATATAAAGAATCACTCTCCGTTCGTTGTGAAGTACGTTGAGGGCAATGGATGGTGTAACACGAACAATGTCACGGTAACAGGAAAGGTATGAACAATAAAATGACCGCCTTTGTTGGGCTATAACGCTAGTGTCGGCACGAAAATTCATAACTCGGCTCCAAGAAGTCCCGGAGGCCGCGGAAAAGGTGGATGGAGGTGGAGGAGTGGAGGCCAGCTGTCAATGGTGGGAGGGACATGACCAAAGTGGGCGGAGTTTGCGACGAAAATTCATAACTCGGCCCCAAGAAGTCCAGGAGGCTGGGAAAAGAGGTTGGCGAAGGAAAGGAGGTCAAATGCTATTAGTGGGTAGAGCACGCACCCAAGTGGGCGGAGTTTGCCAAAAGTGTCGCAATTCGGTTGCAAGAAGTCCTAGAGATAGGGGAAAACGGGGTTAGAGGTTGGTGAGGGAAAAGAGCTCAACTGCTATTAGTGGGTAGAGCACGCACCTAAGTGGGCGGAGTTTGCCAAAAGTGTCGTAATTTGGTTCCAAGAGGTCCCAGAGACCGGTGAAAAAGGGGGTAGAGGTCGGCGAAAGGAAGGGGCCAAATGCTATTGGTGGGCAGGGCACGCACCGAAGTAGACGGAGTTCGCCACGAGATTTATTGTCCGGAAGCAGTCCGGAGACCGAGAAAAAGAGGATAATGGTTGACGAAGAAAGAGCGGATAGAATTTAGCGGAGAATTCAGATATTCGTATTGTATCAAGCCAAATTTGAAAATTTTCGTCGCACCATCAAAATTCGCCACAGATCTGTGTTGCGCGCGCAATGCGTGCGGCGCCAACTGGTAGTATATAATCCGTATCGGTTGATAGCTTAGAAGTTTTCAGAAACAACACTAATGGCAATAAAGTCCCGAGCCTCATACTTTTTCGGCTTTTGAACCGTTTAGAAAAGAGTTATAAATGCAGAGGGATACCCCGATTACACCCATCTACACACCCCGCCAGCTGAGCGATGCTTAGCCAATTGAAGGGTATTTCATGCCCAGAATAAATAGTTCATGTCTGCCATTCTACTTTTGCATTGTGCATATGATGATGAAGTCACGGATTTTTTGTCAGGCATCCTCAATTCAGGTAAGAATGTTGGAGAGTTTGTAGGCATTCTCGGGTTGTCTTACTTTCATGTATTTGGGTATCTGGAACATGGCAGAAGTGTTGCTGATGGGAGTGTTCTGGGTATTGGGGGTCTAGGTATAACGTGAAAGGGAGGAGAAAGAGGGTGGAAAAAGTGGGAGAAGTTAAGACAATTGATTGTTTTTCTCGTTTCAAGGCTGTTTAACACCGCCATCCCAGTTTTTGATGATTTGTGGCGAAAGAATCCCCCCCCCCTCGCCGATGGTCTGGGGTTTTGGAGAGGAAATGGGTGGAATTGAAGTGGGTCGAGTGGTCTCAGAATCAAAGTACTATAGAAACTGTGAACCTGAAGATGACGTCGGGGAATGGGATATGTCAAGTCTTTGTAATTCTGCTCTGCCTCATTTGCTCATACTCTACCCATTCCAAACTTGACCCGCCCTCCCTAGGTGATTTTTGAAGGAAGAATTATAAACATGTGGGGGACACTTGCGAATTTTTGGGGAGCGGTCAGACAAACAAACTCTGGTTTATATAATAGTATGATAGGGGGGTGATCTATGGTCTATTCAACCAACATTTCCTGGTTTTTTGGATGTTTTTGGACGAAAAACGGCTATTTTTTCACGAAAAATTTTTACTTCAAGCGCACGCCCCGCCCACAGGAGGCGGAGTTTCTTATGGCCAATACATTCATTTAATAGAGCGGTGTGTGCCTTATTTAGGCCTTATTTTTCATGACCTTTGGGATGTCCAGAGAGCAAAAATTTCAATTTTTTCAACGAAATTTCGATTTTTGACGCACGCCCCGCCCACTGGGGGTGGAGTTTAGCATGGCCAATATGTTCCCCTTATAGAGCGGTAAGTGCCCTATTAAGGCCTTATTTTTCCCTGTCTTTAGACTGTTCTGAAGCCAAAAACTGCAATTTTTTCACCAAATTTTTTCATTTCGACGCACGCCCCGCCCACTGGAGGCGGAGTTTAGCATGGCCAATATATTCCCCTTAGAGAGCGACTCATACTCTACCCATTTCCAAACTTGACCCGCCCTCCCTAGGTGATTTTTGAAGGAAGAATTATAAACATGTGGGGGACACTTGCGAATTTTTGGGGAGCGGTCAGACAAACAAACTCTGGTTTATATAATAGTATGATAGGGGGGTGATCTATGGTCTATTCAACCCCATTTCCTGGTTTTTTGGATGTTTTTGGACGAAAAACGGCTATTTTTTCACGAAAATTTTTACTTCAAGCGCACGCCCCGCCCACAGGAGGCGGAGTTTCTTATGGCCAATACATTCATTTAATAGAGCGGTGTGTGCCTTATTTAGGCCTTATTTTTCATGACCTTTGGGATGTCCAGAGAGCAAAAATTTCAATTTTTTCAACGAAATTTCGATTTTTGACGCACGCCCCGCCCACTGGGGGAGTTTAGCATGGCCAATTCCCTTAAGAGCGGTAAGTGCCCTATTAAGGCCTTATTTTTCCCTGTCTTTAGACTGTTCTGAAGCCAAAAACTGCAATTTTTTCACCAAATTTTTTCATTTCGACGCACGCCCCGCCCACTGGAGGCGGAGTTTAGCATGGCCAATATATTCCCCTTAGAGAGCGACTCATACTCTACCCATTCCAAACTTGACCCGCCCTCCCTAGGTGATTTTTGAAGGAAGAATTATAAACATGTGGGGGACACTTGTGAATTTTTGGGGAGCGGTCAGACAAACAAACTCTGGTTTATATAATAGTATGATTATTGTGATGCATTATTATGGTCAATATTATTGTTAGCGTAGGTTGACCCGAAGATCATTTATTAATTGCTAATTAATGTTTCAATTGTAGCTACTGAGCTAATTGTCATGAGCTGAGGTACTCGCCTTGAAATAACCAGAAATCGTGCAGTTGCAGAAATTGACGTGGCATTAACGTGGCATCGTGCCACGTGACTAAATTCTCGATGAAAAGGTGACGTCACGTGTGCTTAAAGATGCTCTTGAAT